TCTTCATGAAAATTATATTTACCTGTAAAGTAAATTATATCTAACAATCAAACGTGGCTCATCAACCTGGTTTAGTTTAGTTGGTATTCAAAGGGGTAGTCTAAAGTGTCTCTTTTGGATAACCACGGGTCTGATTTCTGCTTTAAATCCTTCAGGTGAACATTGGTTCTGCACCAAATCAACATTAGATTTACATAGTGTGATTCTCATCCTATCCTGTGAGCATTTTTCCACTCATTTGTCTTTAGGTGTTCCCCAGGGCTCCGTTGTGGGCCCGCTGCTGTTTGCACCATATTGCTTCTGTTGTGCTGTATGAAACAGACATTTAAAGGTGTTTTCTGTCACATTTAAGTGGATGATATTTAGCTGTTTGTTTCTCTTAAACCCAGTACCAGTTGTAGCCAGCTGGTTTTGGCCATATTTTGTTTGACTTAGATTCAATGATCCACGGATTGAAATTGGATCTTCCTGTTGGAGGTTTAAAAACAGGGCTAAGTAAGTTATTTGTTCTTTAGTGCCTGATGGTGGGACTGCAGTGCTGCGGGAATTGGAGTTAACCATCGCTGTAGCAAGTCTCTCAAACCAGGATGCAGAGGAGGAGCAGAATGGAGGTCAATGACAAACCTGAGCCATCCCTAACTATAAGCTGTATCAAAAAGGAAAGTTTGAAACCTGAACCTATACTGGTTCCACAGAGAGGGGCATGATACCTGAAGGCTTTGCCTCCCATTCTGCTTTTACAAACTCCAGGAACCACAAGTAGACCTAAAGCCTGAGAGCAAAGAGCTCTGCTGGGAGAATATCCAGCTGGGAGCTCTGTGGAGACCATGGCTTTGATCTGAGAGAATATCCACCTCAGAAAACCTCAGAGAACTGAGTAAAACTGTCCAATGCTGCAGAAGTCGTCTGAAGTGCTCTCCGTCCTCACGGTGACACTCGAGTTCAGATCCGGAGTGTAATAACAGTCTCATGTCCTGCAGCTGCTCCCACGTCAGCTCAGTAATCACTTCGAATTAACCGAAGCGTCTGTGTGTGCGCCGCCAGCCCGGCCAAAGCCATCTGTGTTTCAGGCCATTGTTTGTGAATTAGCAGCGTGGCATGTGAGCTGCATTTAGCCCATCAGGGTCAGCCCTCTCCTCGGCTTCTGGGAAACCAGAACAGGCTGAGAACGGACAGCTGAACCTCCTGACATGGGCCTGCAGAGTTCCTCTGTCACCGCCATGGCCCCTCATTTAAAACTGCAAAAATTGGGGGGTTTATTCTAAAGGAGGTCAAAAAGCTCAGACAGGCGTTAGTCACCTAATACAGCAAATGCTGGAAGAATCTAGTGCCGTTTTTTTCTTTTTATCTCAGAGCTGATTCTAAATCTGTTTTAGAAGATTTTGTATTTTTCAGTTTTTTTAAAGAAAGATTGATTTCGCAAATGACTATATAATGGAAGCAACAAAGACTTGAACACAAAACTTTTTTGTTTAATTCCCGATTGTTTCCTTCAAATTGTGAAAAAAAAAGTACAGAATTTAACTTTAAAGTCTAAAGAACTTTTTTTCTTCTAAGCTGTTTACAAGTTTTAGGACGCAAAAAAAACAAAGAAAATGGAACTGAAATTCTGTTTTAAAAACACACCAACTCTCCGTTTTTTAGAAAGGGGGGAAGTTACAAAGTTTATTGAATCAGGAGGCTAAAGGGAGAGTTTTAAGTGGAAACGAATGAATTGGATGAAATCAAACTTTTTTGGGGGTTCTGATGAAGTTCTGGTTGAAGACGGGCCAAAGCTGTTGGAGTTTACAGAAAGCACAAAGGCAGCGTCTCAGGTTTCCCCCCGTCCTGTCTCCTCCCTCACCCCTCTCCTCCCCCTCCTGCGTCTCCTCGCCAGTCGTCTCTCAGCCTGATCAGAGCTGAGACTTACCGCGGCAGAGGGGGATTAACGGGGCAGGCTCTGCCCAGGAAAGGCCCTCTGTTCCGGGGGCGAGAGGCCAGGACCGTCCCTCTGGCTGCTCTCAGCCCGGTGGAGCCCTCCTGGCTCCTCTTCTCTCTGATTTCCATGGATCGCTTATCAGCTTTTTTAGACTCGTGACTCCTGCCGTGTGAGTTTTCTTCAACTGCCTGTGGGGGAGTGGGATCCAGCCGGGGATCCGGTGTCGTTCTCCCGAGCGGCCGGAGCTCAGATGGATGTGTCAGAGGTCTGCTGGCGACCCATCGGCCCACGCTCACGCTGACGGAGCCCTGATAGCTCACATATCCGCACAGATAAGAGCAGGTGTGACGCACGGGTCCTCCCCCCCCGTCCGAGGTCCTGCGGGCCGCCCGGGGGGCGTTCAGGAGCCCATGCTGCCCCGTGGATTATTCCAGATTACAGCTGAGCCCTTTGTCCCAGAACACAAGATGAAGAGGAGGAGGGAGCGCTCAGGAGTCCCAAACCTCCGCCTCCAGTAAGAGTGTGCATGTTTGAGGCCGCGTTCAGACCCGATTCTTATCAGGCAGCCGGCCGTTTATCTTCTGTCATCTGAAACCAGCACGCCTTCTCAGGTTAAACCGCTGAAAACAAACAGGACAGTCCAGACAGCTCAGTTTCCTCGTTGGTCAGAGAGGAGTGATCATAAAACTATCAGTGCTCTTCTCTGAGTTCCAAAACCTGCAAAGATTGGGTTTCTCTCCCCTCAGCTTTGAGCTAAGAACCCAAACTTACTCCTCCAAGGTGGAAACCAGGGTTAGAATATATACATATATAGATTTGAGCAGCTGTTTTTATTCACAAATTCATTCTGACGAAGTTGGCCCTCAAAGATGTTCCTAAAACTCTTCTTTGAGAATTGAGTCCCAGCTTCATGTTGATTTTGTTTGAAAATCTTTATGAAATAGAAACTTTCTGATTTCGGTTACATGTTACAAATCTGTGGGAGCTCTAACTTTCACCATCCGACTCATAGGAGTAGATTAAGATTTAAATTTATTAGTCCACTCATAAAAAAAAAGAAAGAATTAAAAAAAAAATCTTTTTAGAGCTTCAAACTGTAGTTATTAATTATTTAAATAACAAAGTGAAACAGCTAAATGTTTCTTTTTCACATAATACCCTGAAAACAGATCTTGGTTTCTTTTTGTTGTTTTTTTACTTTTGAATTTTTTAGCTTCCAGAGAAGCTGATTTAATGGAATGTTGAAGCTTTTGTGATTTCAGGCCAGAAAAAGTGGGTCATTTACGGTAAAAAAGTACTTGAATATGATTTTTTCATCTCTTTTAAATTAGCTGCCTGAAAATTCAATTTCTAAAGGAAATATTAGTTTAAAAGAACAAAAGAAGGAATGTAATGGACAGTAAATGTTATTCCTTTTGTTATAAAAAGAATGAAAACACTTCTTTTCATTTAGAAAACCAAGATGAAGCAGCAAAATGTTCCCTTTTCTCTCATAATAACCCTTAAACTTCATATCTTTGGTCTTCATAACAGCTTCCATTCTTCCTCTGATCCTCTAGTTTCTGGCTGTTCACTCAGACTTGCTTTGGATGAAACTTTTGTGTGATCAGTCTCTGAATCCCACATGGACTTTGTCCTGGCTCCTCTATCTCTTCCAGTCCTCCAGGTGTTTGTGGGTGTTTGCAGGCCTCAGTAATGGCTTCCTATTAACTCTTCTTCCATTTAAGCCTTCTTCCATCAGTCATTCTGGAGACTTTATCCCACTCTTGTCTAGAAGCATCCATCTCTGCCAGAGGAGAAGAAGCTCTTTCGGTATCGTGTTGTAAACGGTTTGGTTTATTTGCCGAACAGATGGCTGAACAATATGCCGGAAAAACATTCAGATGGGTGATGCCCTTGATCTCCCAGCTGGGGGGCTCACCCATTCTTCCCCACCCAGCGGGGGTGAGGGGGAGATGGAGACCACCACCATAAGGTCAACCTGCCCCTGACGGTCGGAGTAAAAGAAGCTGACATTTTAATTAACCTCCCTCCCTTCCTGCTCTAGTGAGCAGATATAAATATATTATATCTAAGCAACAGCACTCCTTTGGTTGGCCACGCCTCCTCTGCTAAGCCCCGCCCTAATACCCCCTGCTGGTTGGATGGAGCAGCTTCTTGAGGAAGTGTCCTGCTGTCAGCCTGCATCTTCCATCCCGGCAGCAGCTCAGAGGAATTCAGAGAAACATGTCATTTAGGCCCTTAAATGCTCTGATATGTTCCCCTCCATGCTTCCTGCTGCTCTCACGCTGGATGGGGCTCATTTAGCATGTTGTTGTCCTCACTCTAACTGAACAGGCAGCAGGTGTGGTCTCAGCTCGGCTTTCTTTGTGGACAGTTGAGGATCCTGGCTGAGTTTCAGGGGAGCGAAGCGTAAAGTGGCGCGTTGGCAGCCCTGTGAAGCTGATCCAGGACTTTTTCTGTCCAGCCGTGATGGTTGGTGCGCGAGGCTTTCCACCTGCTGTGAGGGGCCGCCTGCAGCCGGGCGCTCAGCATGGGGGGGGCTGGAAACAGGCTGGCAGAGCATCTGCAGCCATATTACAGCATCCTGTCACTTCCTGCCAGTTTCTTAGCGGAGTGTCCATCAGGAGTGCATACTCTTTCATTTATTGAATATTTGATTGGATTTCTTTTCTTATCTATTTTTTTTATTTACATCTATTTTTATTTTCTTTATTTTCATAATCTAATTTATCCATAATTGTATTTTAATTTTATGTATGTTTATTTTTCTAAATCTAATATTATAAATATACGATTTTATTCTTTGCTTTATTTATTTATTTTCTTATTCTTAATTTATATTAGTTTAGCTTTTATTCTATTTTTCTTAATTCATTCATTTTTTTAAAGTTTTGTTTGATTTAAAAAAAAATTTCATTCAATTTTTTTTATTTGATTTAATTCACTTAGATATATTTCTCTTTTTTATTCATCTCTTATTTTGTTTTATTTTATTTAGTGGCTGTATTTACAGGCCTTCAAAACCTTAGAAAAAACAAACAGGAAGTGACTCTGGTATTCCGAAAAATGTCCGACATGTTTGGGGCATCCCTCTTCAGTGGGCAGGTGGGGCCTTAGAGGGCGTGCGGATGTTTTGGGTCCTTCTTTTCCTCCCTTCATCCTCTCTTCCTCCCCTCCCTCCTCTCTCGGCAGAATCTGGTCGCCGGCTCAGCTGCGTTGCCACAGCAACAGCAGCCTCCTCCTGCAGCACCTGCTGTCCCCCACTTCCTTTCATGCCTCTGCCGACCAGCCCCCCGTAGTCACCCTCTCTCCCTCCTCTCCCTCCCCCTCTCCCTCCCTCTGTGCCTCAGACGGCCCTCTGTCAGCCCCTGTTTACCAGCGAGGAAACCCCTTCCTCTGGAGGTAAGCCCTCAGACTCCCGAACTTCCTCATCTCTGCCGGCAGATTAGAGCCAAAGTCATTCCCTCTCATTACTTTAGTCCTCATTCAGGTAAGCGAGCCTTCGTCAAGAGATCATTTCACTCCTAAAGTGAATCTTATTATGAAATAGTGGACAGAAGTTGTACAGGGACACTTTTACATTTTTTGGGTTCAGTTCCAGGAGTCCTAAAACACTCCCACCTCCTCCTGGAGGATCCAGAGGTGCTCTCCCACAGGGAGGAGCCAGGAGGCGTCCTAACCACATGACCCCCCCCCCCCAGTGTCGAATGGCTGTTGGTTTATGAATGGTGAACATATAGGTAAACACTAAGAGGTGCAGCGGGATTCAAGAATTAATCAGTTTGATTAGAGTTTTTGCTTTAAATAAAATTCTGCTAAATCTGGTTGGATGACCTGATGAGTAAGCATCAGGTAAATCAAGTCTGTTTACGGTCAATAAATGGGCCATAAGGTATCTGCAGCTGAGAGCCTTTACCCAGTTTTCGTTGATACTTTAAATCTCTGGCATTTATTAGCCGTGTGCTGCTTGTAAAATGCTGTTAGTGTCCCAACTGGATCACGTTGGACATTTTTAAGGCAAAATCGAGGCTGATTCATCGGATACCTGCCATGTTTACTGTGAAACATGTTGGATTAGAAGCTCAATGTCTTTGCTTTTAGGGACAGATTAAATGGCGCACACGTGAAAAAAAGATGGTGCTTTTAAAGTGTGTCTGTGCACAGTGCTGCAGGAGGGTTTGCTATGTTTGGCAGCTCCCTGCAGACAGATTTTAAGTTCTCAGAAAAACCTCTGAGACTGACTACAGCCGGTTTGTGGTGCCGTGAAGGGCAGGGCCAGCTTCTGTTTGCATGGTTTTAATTGAGTTTTTGTGTAATTATGGCTACAGTATGACTCTGCAAATATATTTTTACATTTTATTTGTCTTCTGTGTGGTGGACTGACGTCAATTCATAAAAAGTTTTTTTATGGAGGATTCAGCCCTCTGATACATCAGGCTACACCTGCACATTGGGACTTCTTCGTCCCAATAAAAATAGTCGAAGAGACAAATGATGGAAGCCTAACTGCCCTTTAAGCCTCTTTGGGGTCAGAATTAGACCTTATTTCTGACCGTCTATCACTTCTACCATTACCTTTGACATTTTAACCTCAGACCTGACCACATAATCAGCATCTTCCAACTGAATATTTACCCCAAAATGGAGTTTGAAACCATTCCTGTTCAGTTTTTCATCATTCTAACCCCTTTAGCTAACACAGGAACATTTCATATGAATATAGATTTAATTTCCCCCCTAATCTATTAACCCTCATTTTAAACAGTCTCCTGAACCTTAACTCTTCTAAATGTGGAGTGGTAACTGTCCTTCAAGGGTTGAATGATAAATAATGGGTTCATGGCTTTTCTTTACCCAGTGAGTCACATTTGTTACATAATAATAATAAACTATATAATAATAATAATAATTAAACTAAAACATGCACGGTGATCTTTGGGCTAAAGAAGCGCATTGATAGTATTAGACATTTTGGTTCCCACAGCTGATGGACATAAAGTGTGTTCTGCCTTGTTTCACAGCTTCAGTTTGAATGATTTTTTCTGTGTTCAAAGAGAGGCGCGTTCTGCTTTGTTCCTTAAAGGGATCAGTTAGTTTTCTTTTGAATTCCATGAGCTGTGTTTGGTCGGTTATCTCTGCTGTAAGGATGCTTCTTAGGATTGAGCCTGGTGGTTTGAAACGCTCCTGCATTTGTCCTCGGTGCAGAAAAGCTGACCTGGTCCTCGGAGCGGTTTAGCTTTAAAACACCTCCGGAGATTTAGTGTTTCAACATCTTTTTTACTTAACACCCCCCCCTTCTTGTATCTGCCTGCGTGCTTTGGTTCGCAGCCCTCCTCTCTTTGTTCTGTTCCGGGCTTTAGAAATCCATCAGTAGGCAACGAGGTGGAGCTGTTGCCCCCCCCCAGCAGAGACCTGTTGGTCCGCTCGGACTCCCGTCTGTGTCGGGGGGGGCGTGCAGGGACGCTGGCAGTGGCTGTGGCCGGCGTCGGGGTGAGGCTGTCGTCAGAGTTAGAGGGAGAGGAGAGCGCCGGGGAGGGAGGGGCTGAGCCGAGCAGAGAGACGGCGCAGCAGCAGCCCTCCTCCTGCCGGCCGCGGCTGCTGTGACAGGTGGAAGCCAGCATCCCCTCGCCTTCGTCTCCAGCCGGAGCAGAATGCCCGGACGCTAGCATGTCTGATTCCTGGACGGTGCTCTCCAATTTCTCCCTCCCCGAGAGAAGCCTGCTGCGGCGCTCCAAGAGGTATCTGTAGCTTTTCTGCCCCCCCACCCCCCCCCTGCTCCTCCTGCAGGAGCAGATCCAACATGAAGGTCAGCGCTGGGGATCTGGGGGGGGGGGGGGGGTTCAGCAGGAGCCTCGGTGTGTGACGGCATGCGTTTGAGTGGCCTTTGATCAGGTTTCCTGTCTGATTCAGATGCAGGCTGAAGGAAGTGATGCGATCGGGGTTTTTTTTTCCCTCCGTCTCCTCATTTGACCCCCTACTTTTCCATCGCGTCCCTCTTCTGTCAGAGCCGGCAGAGGAAGGGCAGCACTTAGCACAGAAGCTGTAATTTTCACCCCCTTCTCTGTAATAACAGGGGAATCAGGCAGATCTCTTCCTCTCTGCCCCCCCTCTGTTGGGGCTTTGACGCCTGGATGGCAACAGGCTCTGGCAGTTGTTCAGCATGAAGTCGGCAGCTCAAAGCCAAATGAGAAAAAATGTGATTCAGAGGGTTTTCTGCCATTTTTAGATATCTGCTGCCTGTGTTTACGACCGTATAAAAGGTATTTCCACGTGGGTGTTCTGCTGTTTACGACTCGAATGTCTCAGCAGACGTCGGTGTTCGATTGCAAAATTGGCTGAACAAACTTATTTCTGGGCTCACAAAGAATAAAATATAAACTTCTAAACTGTGTTTGGGCTTTAATTGAAGCTTGATGAACCTCCCAGGGGCATCGCACCGATTTGGAGGTGGTAGTGTTGGCACTTCAGATTCTGGATGCTTGTTGTTGTCATTGGTTAGTTCTTCAGTTTGTCTCAGAGAAACTCAGTAGCACCATTTGCAAACATCATAAACAATTTTCTGGCTCGCCTTTCTGCTCAACACTGAAACGATGAAAAGGATGAAAAAGGAATTTTAAAGATAATATTTGAAAGTATGCCCTTTGAAACGAGGACTCTGAACATGCGTGTTTAGATGTGAGGAGCAGAGAGGAGGTACCTTCCCAGATGTGGGTTCTCATTTCAGGGTTCACATCCAGAGACAATATTCCCAAGAGAAGTTAAATCAAGCAATTTACTTTATTTCTAGTTTTATAAAGCACAAAATCTTCCAAAAAGTAATCTCAAAATACTTAACAGATCAAATAGAACACTGTTTCCTCTCTGTTGGACCTTAAGCCAAAAAAGGCCTTTTAAAGGAACTTTATAACAAAACAGTTCCTCTCTGAGTTGCTCCTATCCAAAGTGGCTCTTTGTGTCTTTGAATCGGAGTTCGATTGGTTTTGTCTGCTTTCATAGACACATATGAGTGAGTAACATCACGGTGGAACTTCCTGCTGCACTCGCTGACTATGTTCCCTAATGAAAGCTGATGTAGAGGGAACGGAACCGGGCCGAGCTCAGATGCCTGAGGAACTCCAACACTTACTCTGCTGTGGGAGGACGAGTCTTCATTTACATGAAAAACGTTAAATCTGTCAGATAAATCAGACTTAAACCAGGCTGATGAGTCTATTCAGTCCCTGTTGGATTCTCTGTAACTGAACACTGGGATTGATGGTGTCAGATGCTGCACTTTGATATAAGAAATGAGAGTAAACTAATAAGAAAAAGCAATTCAAGGGTTTCCCCCTGATCAGAATTTTTTAGGGGTTGATCAGAATGTTTCATTTACTAGGGGGGGTAGCTCCAGCCGCTCATGATTAAACTCGGTCTTCAGTTGGCTCGTCTCTCCCAGCAGAGATCCTGCAGCGGATACACAACCTGCCTCTTTTTATTAATGCTTCTGCTACTATGACTGTTTTAGGAAGAGTCTGAGTTCTGCCTCGGCTCCATCTCGTCCCGCTTCCCTCTCGGGCGTGTGCAGGTGCCTTTGATTGGCTCAGAGATGAGTTCCTATTCATAAGGCTAACTGTTCACTAGCCTGCCAGCAGCAGCAGCAGCACTGAGTCTCTGAAATGATCCACACACATCCCACTTTCTGTTTATCGGCGGGATCTAACCGTCCTCTCCTCTCTCTGCTCTTTTATTATCCTTACTGCAGCAAAGCAGGCGGATGTTCAACCAGCTGAACTCCTCTATGATTTGCAGTCAAATCTTATCTTTTTGAGAATATGACAGATATTTTGCTCTTTGACTCCCTCTAAAGGTCCAGGATTAAAACTGAGCTGGTCCAACCGCACAGATATCAGGACCCTGTGGTCTGCTGGGGGCAGAAATAGGCTGGTCAGGAAGCCAGGCCGTGAAGTTTATTGGAAAAACTGATTTAGAGTGTTTGTTAGAGCACAGCAGCTCAGGGGAAAGAAATCCTGAAATTCAGCTTTCTGTTCGTTTTTTTTTTTTTTGGTTAAAAGTTCCATCCATCCAGGTTTGGCCTTCCCTCATGACAAACTCCAGACAGATTGTCATGAATATTTCAGAGTCTGGAATCAGGCCATTGAACACACCTGGAGCACACACACCCCAGCAGAGACCCCCCCTTACCCCCCACCTTCCCCGGGGGCACGTCGGGCATTTCCGTCTGTGTGTGTCTGTGTGTGTCTGTGTGTGTGTCTGTGTGTGCTGGGCGTCCCAAACCTCTTTAAAGTTCACACAAAGACCAAAGGGAAACTAAACTAAATGCCACCGCTGTGTGTTTCTGATGACGAAATTCCCTGAACTCATCACTGATTCTGCAGTCTGGCAGCTCATCCCTCACACAGCATGTGTGTGTGTGTGTGTGGAGGCCACAAACTGCTGATGCTGCACATCTCAGCAGATGGCAGAAAACATATAAACACATAACACATAAACACGCGGCATGTTGTGTCTGATTTACATGCAACGCCAAACGAAACGTCCCCTCATTCACATATCGAGGAAATCTAATTTCTCCTTTAAAAGCGGCTCGCGTCCCGAACCCAAACCTGACAGCGCACAGCTGTAGAGCAACATCTGGGTGTTCTTGAATATGTGTGGGAGAAGTCATTAAAAAAAGATCAGCCTTTTGGGCGTCCAGAGGAAATGGGAGTGCTGGTCCTCAAACAGAAATCTCAGCCTGTGGGAAGCGTTGCCGGACATCTGTGCGTGGCTCGCCGTGCCCCCCCCCCACTGCTGTTGGTCTGAGGCCCACGCACTGACCTGAATGTGTTTGGTCCTCAGCTGCCGCGCCAGCAACAGGAAGAGTCTGATTGTGACGTCCAGCACCTCCCCCACCCTGCCGCGACCCCACTCGCCCCTGCACGGACACACAGGTAACCCTCACACCAGCCGTCACACACAAGGGCCCCTAACTCAAGGGATGTGCCAGGGCTTCGCAAAGAAGAAGTTTGAGCTCTTTGCTACCAGTAGCCTGTCACAAAGACACAACATTTGTTCTTATTTCTTTAGCTGATGTGAGAAAAATCCCACACTGACCAAATATTCACTTTAAACTCCAGAGAATCAAACAAATTCTGTTTCTGTTGCAGATTCTGGGTTTTCCTCAGTAAATTACTGCAGATATATTAAAGAAACTAGGACCTCTGAGCAGCATATTATCATTTCTTTATGAATATTCATCATGGCTAAGTTTTGTTTAAAATACGTTCCTTTGTTTCTTTGGTAAATTTGAATCTGCTGGAGGAGCAACAATGAACTTCACGGCAGGATTGATAAAAATCTGTGTGAGCCTCCACCTTTGAATACGTCAGTGTGAAAAAATGGAACCTCTTTAAAAAGACGTGTTTAGTTGAGCTTGAAGTGTCTCGGAGGAAAATGAGCCTCTCACACAGACGCAGCTGCTGCAGAGTGCTGACGCGGGTCTTCTTCAACATGCCTGACAGCTCCGTAGAAACCCACCAGCAGGGCTGACGGATGGCTTTAAGATCTGGAAAAATGAGCTGACAGACAGAATGAGGGCGGAGGGTAAACATGAGAAGATTAAGAACCAAAAGTGACCGTTTTCTGTCCCAGACGAAGAGCCTGAGCTGGACCGAATGGGAGCGCAAAGCTGCGTCGAATCCGTTCAGTAAGCAAGAAAATAGAGACTTCTTTCTTTTCATAACTTTGAAAGCACATTGATATGATCAATTTAGATAAGAATTTATTACCAAATTTAGTAGAAATACAGCTAGTGACATAAAAACATCAGGATATCTGTGCGGGAAAAGTGGAAGTTTAATGTAAAAACGTTGAAATTCAAACCTACTGGGGAAAAACTGTATTTTATTAATTTAATATCACACAAAAACATCAAATCTGAGCAGAAGAGCACAAATCTTAAAAACAAGCTATTTATAAACGCTTTGAGGCTGTTTTTGGCTCCTTTTGATTCATATTCCACCTAAAAAAAAAAGGTCTGGACTTCACTTTATGTGACTTTACAGATGTTTTTTCATTCTGACAGACTGCAGTAACACATTGGAGCTACAAATCACGCAAAATCTTTCCCTTAAAAAGATATTTTTATAATTTAGAAAGCAAAAAAATAAATAATGTAAACAATTTATTAATAAATTTAGCAAAAAACAAAGTAACAGACATAAACCATCAGGATGTTGTCTGCAAAATGTGAATTTCAGGTAAAAACCTAGAAATTTTGACCTGTTCTCAAACATTTAATAACTGCTGAGATCTCTGAAGCAATTTTATTTAAAAATACGTTTATATATAATTTTTTTGAAGTTGCAGCTTGAAGTTATTATGAGACCAAATCTTTAAGGAAGCGTAAAACACAGATCTGTGATCTGTTTGGAAATGACCCCACCGGATAAAAACCGGGTGTGAATGCTCTGTTCCAGTTTTTATTGATATGGATTAGTCAGAGCCACGGAACGTTGCGTCCTTTATCCTCGTTATCGCCTCGTCTGGCCTCCTCCTGCGCAGAACGTGACGTCTGACCGCCTTCTAATGACGGAAGGGTCCGATAAAATGCAGGATGAGCGATTTCGGACCAAACGTGGAAGACTTTTCCTGTTCACACTGCCACAAAGCAGCTCAAACCTCCAGATAATGAGCAGTTTCAAAGCTAACTCACTGACATCACACTGTGGAGTTATACTGTTTTTAATCCTTAAACAGGAGCTGTGTTGTGTTAAGGAACTTTTCATGTAAAGAGCCTTCATGTTTCCAGATAATAAATGAGAAATGGGGGGAGGAGGAGGCTCAAACCGAGCTATTTTTAGCCTCTTTCAAGGCTTTGAATCCTCTGAGTTAGATGTGAAGTCCTGGATTCATCATCCCGCTGAGAGCGAAGCTGCTTTCAGGCCCCGTGATGAGCTTTCATGCTTATTTCTGACATTTCTTCTCTGTCTGACACTAAATTAATCTAATTAATATGATTAGTAAATGCTGCTCTGCTGATCATGTTCTCACCCACTCATCCCCATCTCTCCTGACAGAGACTCTACTCTATTAGTCGCTAAACGTCTGCAGAATGCAGCATTCCTTCTCTAATTTTCTACTTATCTTTCTCTTTTTTCGGTATTTTCCCTGTGAAGAAGAAGAAGCGTTTCACAGCCTCTTTTTTCCTCCTGCAGCCGTACCTGTTCAGGCTGTTTCTAACTGATTCTCTGAGCTACAGACTGACAGATAAACAGTTTTTCTGCAGCTGTGGGACGGCCATGTTGGATTCTGAGAAGCCTCTGATGCTCAGAGTCACAAATCAGGCGAATTTGGGGGCGTTCTGCTTCATTTTTCTACCTTCTGACTTCAAATGACTCCCACTTTGACGCATATTGATTCCTGATCAAGAAGCCAGAGGCTGCCCCTTGTTTAGCTCTTTAAAGCTTTTGGGGCCAAACTGAATTTTGGATCAGCTTTTTGGTTCTGCTGCGGCAGCTTTGTGAGGAAAGTGGATGATATTTCAGCTTTTTTAGCCTCTTACCAGTCAGATGGTTTGATGGATCACAGACCTGATCTCATTCCTGATGGTCAGGAGCTGGAAACAAGCTCAGAGGATTGAAGTTTACAGAAGAAACCGTGTCTCACTGTGTGTTTGAGCATAATGAGGCTGTTTTTGTGAGGGAAGCTGAACACTTTAATGAGGAATGAAGAAGACTGGATTCACTTTTAGCTGCTTTAAGCTTTCTCTCCGCAGAATGATTGCCTGAAGACAGTTTGAAATGGCCTACAGATTGAAGGGGGGTTTGCGGCTCCTCCTTGGCGCTCCTGGGAAAAGGTCCACTGATTGGCAGCTGTTTGTTCCAGTGATGGTTTGTCAGACGAAGCCTCCCTCCTCTTTGTTATTCTAATGAAATAGGGCTCTCTCTGCTCGGATGGAACTCTTCCCTCCTCCTTAATTCCAGCTGCATTTTCTCAGCTTCTTCCTCCCTGGAGGCAGCGAGCTCATATTTTATCAGCACGTACCTCATAAGATGAATCTTTCTTTCTTTTTTACTAAAGTAGGTCACAGTCTCTCCGCTTTACAGCCTGAATGTGACAGCGAGCGGCGTCTGAATCCGCTGGGACGGCCCGCCCATCAGGGCTCAGCAGCCTGACGCTTCAGGGCTGCATGTGTTTATCATTTTATTCTTTGGGGGGTTGGAATAACAAATAAGACTCAGACACCAATTAAAATGACTAAAATTATGATAAGCCCGACTGCGGTGACGGGTGGCGTGCCACTGACTGGTCACCGTTTAAGGTGGTATTACTGGTATTTGAGCAAATGGTAGAATTTTTTGTTTTTTTTTAAGGTAGATTAGCAGTTGGTCTATTTGTCTGTGGGAATGAAGGTGGTGGATTAAGGTGGTATTAGTGTTCTCTTTGCCTAATAGGCTGATGGAAACTGTTTATTTGTCAGCCTGTTTATCTGAAGTTGGACAGCAAAGGCATTTTGTTAGTTCAGCCAGTGGGTGGATAATTGATTTAGGGTAGCTTTTGCCTGCTGAGTGTGCCCTGTTTGCTCACTCAAATCTCTGGAAGGAGAATCTCGCCTCTGGTTACTTTCTACTCTGACCAGCTTCCCTGCTGAATGAAGACCTCCCTCATGATACTGCCACCACCGTGCTCTGGTCTCACCTGAGCACTGGACCCTGCTCCAGGTGTTTGGGGAGTGTCCAGCGTGTGTGGTGGTGAAAAGAGGCTTTCAGCTCACCTAACAGAAGCAGGGGAGCTGAGGCCTCGTCAGTTTGACTAAAAACACTCCAGTTTTTTTGCCTTTATTTAAGTTTGAAACGTTTGAGTTCATCAGAAGCTGAATAAAAAACTGACCCCGAATGAATTCTTTGACAGTTTTTGGTCATTCATGATGACTGATTCTTGTCTTTCAGGAACCAGCCCTCTGGACAGCCCTCGGAACTTCTCCCCCAACACAGCCGCTCACTTCTCCTTCGTTCCGGCTCGCAGGTGAGAACCCTGAAGGCGTTGGACCTCGTGGTCAGCCTGGGAGCCGGGCTGTGTCTGGTTCATTGGTCATGAGCGGAGAAGGTGGCTGGTGTGAGGGGCAGGGGCACGTGCATGCACATGCACATCACTCAAATCCAGGCACAGAAGAAAGAAAAGTTCCAGCTTCCTTCTTCTTCTGCCTCTCAAATTTCAATGGATACGCTGATGATGATGTTTCCATGGTAACTGCCCTCTCCTGGCTCATTTCCATGACAACCTCATCATCAGAGTGAGGCGCTTTAATCCTGGTGTGGACAGGAAGTGCACCACTGACCTCAGAGCTGGAGCCGCAGTGCCTCCCAGTGGTGGAGGCTGGTACTACAGCTTTGAGAAGCAAAACCTCCTCTGCCTCCACCTTGGGACAGTCTGATATCAGAGGAATCCTATAAAATACAAATTTGAAACTATTTTGCAGTAACATAATATGGCTGCTTTAAATGTGGGTCTCTGTTAAGTCCTTTTTGTTTGTTTTTCTGTCCAAAAGTAGAAGTTAACAAATATTTAGCTTCAGAACAATAGTCCAGGAAACTTTTAGATTTGATTATTGTTTTGATTTTTGGTAAAAGCTTTAGGATTTAAGATCAAACCTTATATTTGATACTTTTTCTTAAATTATTCATCTGAGTTTTATAAACACATTTGCACTTAATTAGTACAATCTTTTAATTTATTGTTTTTAAAGGTGAAATATTCCCCCTTTCTGTTCCAGAGAGCACATTTCAGGCTGTAAAACCCTCCAAAAAACCCAGACATGATAATTTTGGTTCCCCTTTGTTTATGGAACTCCTTCAGATGGCTTCGCCTTTGGTATCTGAGGACTAATTGCTCTGGGTGTATTGTTTTATTTAGCAGCAGCTAATGCTAACAGCTTAGCTGATGAAGACAGCGTACACCAGCCTCTGAGGCGTTACTTTGTCAGCTGGCCCTAGAAATACAAAAAAAAAAGTTAATTGAACACATTTTTTAAAAACAGACTGTGTTACAAAAACAAACTCTGTCTCTTCCTCCTCACAGTCACGGACACAGAGCTGACAGGTAACGTCCATGTTTGACCTCACGCCTTTTCCCCGCCGCCGCCGCCCTGCATGGCTGAACACAGACCAACAGGCGCTGCCTCTTACTAAAAAAAACACCACAAAGGTTTTAAACCAGCTCACAGACAGCTGAGTTTCAGCTTTCCCAGAAACTTTAGTAAGAATCCGCCTCCTTTTGCTCTGAAGAGGCTGAACACAAAATATTAAAGTTGTAATTCTTTAATTTAATGATTCTCAGCTGATAGAAACACCAGAAATGATCATTTAACCTTAATTTCTGATTTTTCTTAATTTTCATATAAAAAATCCACATTTGTTACAGATTTACACTCCTCTTCATATCGTTCAAAACTATATAAAATATTGAATAAATAGTTGAAAATAAGTCACAAAAATTTCTGAAAGAAGATTAAAAGTCTGTTTATGAATGTGTCCATCCATTCCTCCATTTTTTCCTCTATGTTCTAAGTCAAAGTTTGTTGAAAATTCCAAACTTGACGATATTTTGGAGTATTATTTTCTAGTGACTGCCAGCAGTCAGAGCAGCTGCTGCTTTGTGCTGAGTCCTGCTGTAAGAACCCGTCTTCAGGACTCTTTTAGGGTTTGAGTCGGTTCTGGGCGCCTTTTCCATCTTTTTCCACCTCTCCGTCAGGTGGGCTGCTTCCTGCTTCTTGTGATGGTGCATCCCATTTAAAGGGTTGATCCTTATTTTATTAAAAAGATGCTACATTCATCTTAATACCAGTTTTTCTTGCTCTGTGTTCAGGTCGGATGGCAGACGCTGGTCCCTGGCCTCGCTGCCCTCCTCTGGGTATGGAACCAACACCCCCAGCTCCACTGTCTCGGTAAATGTCTGAACTCATGAATCCAACCCCCCCCTTTTTCCCATCTGATGCCTGTGTCTACCCCAGCTTCCTGCTGCTTTGGCCAGCTTCATTCCTCTAGTTCAAATTCAGCTTAAAAAACCTGTAAATAGACTAACCTCTGGAGCAGAGACCAGGACAGGTCCCAGGCTACAGACTGATGAGAGCCCACAACCTCTCCCCACCACAAGCCCTCATGTTTGATGATGACATGCCCGAGGGAATAGCCCCTGCTCATCCTGACTGCTTCAACGCCTTCCTAACAGCCCCCTGATGGGTCTCTTACAAGGGATCCCAGCACCCGTCAATCAGGCCTTTTAATGGGCTTCTGACACCCTCCTGTTGCTTTCCTAACATCCTAACAGTTGGCATCCTCACTCCCTCCAAACAACCTCCTAAGACCCTTCCCTCGCCCCCTTTTCCTTCATGGTCTCGGTTGGTGGGATGACCTTAAGGTCTACCAGAGCAGGGCTTTAAGAAGGTCCTAAAAAGCCTTTCCCTGACCTCTGTTTCAACTTTTCGTCCCTGATCTCAACCGGGCTGCAGATGTGCTCTGTATCAGCCTCCTGATGTTGGAGCTGTTCTCTAGATTCTCCTGTGAGTCTCTTTAAATCCAAAATGCACCTCCAAACATTCCCGTCCAGCCCGTCCCCTGACCCCGGGCCTGTACCCGGCCCCGGACCCGACCCGGCCCCCGCTGTAGCTCCACTGCTGGCGGTAATCTGTGCTCCCTCTGTGCTCCTCCTCTCACAGTCCTCCTGTTCATCTCAGGAGAAGCTGCACCAGCTGCCCTTCCAGCCCACGCCCGACGAGCTGCACTTCCTCACCAAACACTTCAGCTCTGAGAGCATCACGGACGAGGAGGGCCGGCGCTCGCCCGCCATGAGACCGCGCTCCCGCAGCCTCAGGTAGGACCCCCCCTCTCCTGTCCAGAGAGATCCGCTCATTCAGGGGCCAGTATAGATTTTTGACAAAAGTGGATTTTTCGGGGGTTTTAGTGACTGAATTGGTCAGGTAAGCTCTCACCTGTCTGATGGATGCTCCCATATTCCTGTAGTCTCTCTACTCCCCTCCACTGTTTTATCTGAAAACAGATATTGACTCCTTTCATCCTCTGAGATGAAAGGAGGTGAGACGAGCTGCCCGGAGCGACTCTGATCCCACCGTGTCGGCTGATTGATGTCAGGCTGACATATAACCTCACGCGAAATTGTTATTTCTGAATTAACACAGATTCAGACTGAGATGGCCTGGACTCCTCCAGGTGTTTGTAATAAAAGCTGCAAATGAGAAAGCTGTGTAATTATGAGGTGACGTCCCTCATTAAAAAGCTCCTAATGAGCATAACATGGGCTCAGACTGATGGAGGGAAGCTGCAGAGGAAAATGAAAAATAAATTAAATGAGATGAGTAGCAATGCTGATGGAAAAGAGAAAAAAGAGAGGAGAGTCTAGGTCTTTGTGCACCTGTGATGTCAATCTCTTCAGTTTGGAGAAAAGCAGCAGTTCTGCTTCTTTCTGAAGATCTTTCAGAGTTTTTCGCATTCAGAAGAAGAACGGCCCCTAACTCAAGGGATGAGCCAGTGTTGTGTCCAAACAGAACGGACGACTTAGCAAAGAAGGTATGATGGAGGGATGAATCCTCCCCAGAGCCGGAGCTCCACATTATTGAAGCAGTGTGGATCATCTGACAGAGAACGGAAAAAAAGGCAGCCCACATCCAAAGAAGAGCTTTGGGATGTCCTTCAAGAAGCCTGGAGAACTATTCCTGAAGACTCCTTAAAGAAAGGACCCAGAGCTGGTTGGAGAGGGTTCAGGCTGTGCTGGAGAATGAAGGAGCTCAGAGCAGAGATTCACTTTAAGATGCACAATCACACTGACTCTGCTTCTGCTGCAGCTGGTTTTGTTTTTTGTACGTATCGGTGAACAGGTTCTGGTCTTTTTGCTCAGTGGCTGACAGGAGCAGAGCAGTAAACCAGCACATGTCTCAGATGCTTGAGTTCTCTGTCTTGCTCAGTTAGGTCCCTCATATCCTGTCTCACTGCCTCAGTAATGAAGCATCAATGTTATTTTTCCCCTCTCGCTCTGTGTGATTTACACCGATGAGAGTCTCCATCAGTGCTTCTCTGCATATTGAACACCTTTTTCACCACTTAGACACATCCCGCCTTCTTCCTCGCCTCACACTGAACAAAAAGCTTTTCCTGGTCGTTTCTCAGCAGAACGATGAAGATGTTTTTCACAGACTGCCGCCGGTGGCTCTTTATTTCCCATTACAGCAGAAATATGGCCGTGTCCTAATTAGCCTTTGTCTGGCTCTCTCCTGTTATCCGTCCGGGGAATTTCTCTGCTCGCTCTGTACTGATTTATTTCAATAACGTCTCCAGGAGTAGCACAGAACAAGAAGAAGAAGAGACTCTGTGAAATTACAGACTATACAAACTTGCCGCCGGCTCTCAGTCCATCTGTGTCACAGAAGCACAGATTTTTCCTCCTATTATGAGAGCGAGGTTAAAATTGATTCCAATCATCAGTCCATAATTAAACCCTTTAAAGACTCATCCAAGAAAAAAACAATTTTTTGTTTTGTTTGAAGTCTTTGTTTGGCCCTTTAACAAAATTAAAAAAAACAATAAACGGGAACTATTTTTGAAAATGTATTAGCGTGCGATAAGTCTAAACTATTGTTGTGTAGTCTTCTGCCTGCTGTTATCAGGTATATCTGATTGTGTACAACAGTGTTATAAGTTAAATTCTAACCATTAAATGCAAAGATCCAAAAGATTTCAGAAACAGCATATATCAAAAAGTATACATATGGCATTATAGGGTTAAACAGAATTTATGGATTCAGAAAAAACAGAGAAATAACAATAATAAAACACTTTTTTTTATGCGTTAAAGCCTAAATGATTAAATGTGAGAGGGCTGTGATTGATTTCTTTGCGGTTACAGCAGCATCAGAGCCGCTTCATACCTGCTCCTCAGTACGGACAGCAACGATTGGCTGCCCTAAGAATGACATCATCACCTCACTTGGACTTTCCATATTTATTTCCATATATCTGTGTATATATTCTTCATTTAGCTGATATCTGAGAATATTCTGCACATTTTGCGATGAAACAGGTGGAGAATCAGGGTATAGAATCAGTGCTATTTCAGCCTCCTGAGGGTTAAACAGAATAAATGGCTGTTTTCCGTCATGACAAACAGCCGTCTGCTCTCATTCCCATTAAGCAGGTAATTGGACTGTGAGCTGCTGATGGATGACTTAAAGCATTACCTCATCGGACAGGTCACATGGTCTGCGTGCCGATGACTCATCCAGATACAGAAACAACCTTTTTCTTTCTTAGATTAAAGTTTTCTGGGTCAAAGCAGAAGAAATGTGGCTGTAATCCGTCCTCCTCTGAGTCCCAGAAACACGGCTCGGCACAAAATCAGCAGAGCCGGTATTTTGTTGAAGGCAAACCGACAGAAGTGGGGGGGGGGAATGCCGCTTGTTTCACGCCGCAGACCCAGAGATGTGTTTCTGGGGAGTGTTTACCATCACAAATTGGGGGGAATGAATAAGACAGCCAGATAACGAAGCCGGAAAATTGGTGGAGATGAATTTTTCTGCCTCGGCTCGGCACTCTGAAGCGGCGCCTGTCACCTGTCATCAGCTCATATTCTCCTGGAAGAGACGTGGAAAGGTCAAGGGCATCACTGCTGTCTTCCAGCACAGAAAGGTCGGCTTTGTGGGAGGGGTGGGGGGGCCCCAGGAGACATCCAGTGAGTAAAAGACAGACAGATTTATATTCTGTTGGAGCTGCCGAGGTCCTAAAGAGACATCGCTGTCAGTTTGTGAAGACCCCTGAGAGTCCCGAGACGGGGAAAGGTCCCGTTAGCATGTCCGTCCTGTTCCTGCCCCCCCCCACGTCCAGCTGATCTGGACCCAGGTCCTCCTGCAAGGTCACAGAGAAACTACTTCTTCTGCTTTCTTATCTGGGTCAGTGCCTCAACCTCTGGGAAATAACTGAAGTCTGTTCTGTCCACATGTCGGAAAAAAAGTAGAGCTGAACCAACTTTCTTACACTAAAAAACAAATGAGTCTGTGTAGAAGCTAAAGTGAAGAGCTGAGTCTGGTTAAAAGATGAAAGATTAAGCTGTGATGTCTTAAATTAAAAAATGGTTCATTCCAAGCAGAAGCAGAGAAGACTTTGGTTGAGTCTGACTTATTTTTTTAATCATAATCCTCTGCTCTGATGTGGTCTGGATCCCTCTGGTGATACAGACTCCCTCAATGGTCTTCTCAGATTTCTCATGGGCTTCCATAAAAGTGTCTGTCTCCTTTGTTTCAGCCCTGGACGCTCACCAGTCTCCTTCGACCACGAGATCATGATGATGAACCACGTGTACAAGGAGAGATTCCCCAAGGTTAGTGCTGCAAGCCAACACTGCACAGACCCAGAAAAACGCTGCTGTTTGAGCATCGCTGAGGTTTTTCTGGTACCTGGAAGCATCAGGACGCCTCTGTTTTCTAGGTCTGAAGTGGTGGATTTGTCTGTCCTTTCAACTCCGAGGTTTCAGATTTTCTGAATTTATTAATCATTATCTGATGGGGATATGGTAGAGGCTGCTTTTATACCCAATCCTGACACCCTCACCTGTGGGCAGGTACTCTGGTGGTTGGAGAACCTGTTCCTGTGGGTTCTTTAGGTGCTTCAGGTGCTGGTTCTGGTTCTAAATCTGATCCAATGAAAATGGTTAGAAACAACCTCAAACATAACTTGTTTAGGTAAATCTTTGAGATAATTAACAGCTCTCAGCTCTTCTCTAGATTAGACCTGAAGTGAAAAAGCTCCCACCATCATTTTCTGCCAAGTGATGAATCAAACGCCCTTTTCTTCCTTTTTATTTCCTTGTTTTCCATAAACGTGAACAGCTATCTGCATGTGTGAATCTGACAGCTTAATGTGGTAAAAACACCAGGAAGGTGAATGATAGCTCACACGATTTCCCCCTTTTAATTATTCATCTCTCCATTTTGGGGTTTTTTGTCTAATGTTCGACATTATCTGCTCACATATTGTCACATATGTCTCTGGCACGGTGGTGCACCTCCCCTGTGACTCCCCCCCCTCCCCCGCTGCCTCCCCTCAGGCGACAGCTCAGATGGAGGAGCGTCTGGCCGAGCTGCTCGCCTCCTCGGCCCCCGATAAGGTCTGCCCGCTGGCCGACGGGGTCCTGAGCTTCATCCACCACCAGCTGATTGAGCTGTCCAGGGACTGCCTGGAGAAGAGCCGCGAGGACCTCATCACCTCCCGCTACTTCTACGAGCTCCAGGAGAGTCTGGAGAAGCTGCTGCAAGACGTAAGTCCGGCTCAGACCAGCCTGCGATGTCCCGTTAAAAAACCAGTTCTGACGAAAGGGAAAGGCCCACATTTAAAGCAGATATAGACGGACACATTCAGGGGGAATTAATGAGCAAAAAGCCACATTTCTGCACAGAAAAAAGCTGCTGTTTCCTTTTTAAATTCCGCTAATTATTCCCAAAATTCCAGGTGACAGGATGGTTTTCCCCACAGATGAGGGAATTCTGCTTCTTCCTTCGGAGAGAGAGTTATCCGTAAAGCAGTTCCTATAACCTCTTTAAATTAGTCCAATCTGAGATGTCATTTAAAATATAATCTGATGAAGGGTGGGAATCCACATTTAGGGGAAACTCAATACAACCAAAACTGGGTGAAAAGTGAAGAAAAGAAAGAAATGGTTTCATTTTTCTGTCCCTTTTCCTTCCTTATCAATCAGTCATTGAGGAAATGAATGAAAAGGCCCACTAACTGGCAGTATTTAATTTTATATAGATGTGAAATATCTGCTTTCATTTTTAACAGTGTTAATTTGTTCTTATGATTAACCTCCAATTATTTAGTTTATATTTAACGTTTTTGGCAATTTGTGGAGTGCATTTTAGATATTTCTTACTAGCTCAACTTATTTCGGGCAGATTTTCCAGCTGGAGTACACTTAATCATCAGCCTCTGGTGACGTCAGCGTCCCGTCTCGCTCGGTTGACCGCGGGCCGACTCGCGGCGGCCGCCGCTTATGGCGGTCAGTCCTGCGAGGGGACGGCGCTCCCTCTGATTGGCCGGCGCTGTCCTGTGTTTACATGAGATGACGGCTCTATTAGCTCACTTTTCGGCGGCGCTACGGCTCCCAGAGGACTCGTCGTGACCTCCTGCTCCGGCGGGACGCTCGCACACACATCCTGATTCTAATTTCACACCTCAGCGCTCGGCCGGCTGACGGATGACTCTCCCAGTCGGACGGGGGGCGCGAGGGGGGGGTTTCCTCTGCCTGTGATTGGACGGAGGGTTCAGGGAGGAGGAGGATGCTGGAGCGCTTTTGGAGAGCGGGAGGAAGTCTGCTCGGGCACATCTGCAGAGACGGAGGGCGAGCTGCAGAGCGGCTGATGACATCAGCGCTCACACTGCGTTTGTTTGTTCGTGTGTTTGTTTATTTGTTTTGGCGCTCTGCAATGTGAGGCTGGCAGGAATGTATCGCATCTCATGGCAGAGGAGGCTGGAAGAGGAGGAGGTGCTGCAGGAGGTGGTGAGGAGGAGCGAGTGGAAGGTGCTGGCACACTGCTGGGAGGAGGAGGAGGAGGAGGAAGTCTTTCCAGCTGCTTCAGTTTGGCCTGATCAGACTCAGGTTTGGACCCTCGACTTCAGGGATTGATGAATAGAACCCGAGAGTTTGCTGCAAGATTCTTAGTTTATTGTTACAGTGACACGGATCCAAAAGAAACCTGCAGACAAACCCAGAAGCTTCAGCAGAAGCAGAGTCAGAGTGATTGTGCAGCTTAAAGTGAATCTCTGCTCTGAGCTCCTTCATTCTCCAGCACAGCCTGAACCCTCTCCAACCAGCTCTGGGTCCTTTCTTTAAGGAGTCTTCAGGAATAGTTCTCCAGGCTTCTTGAAGGACATCCCAAAGCTCTTCTTTGGATGTGGGCTGCCTTTTGTTCCGTTCTGTGTCAGATGATCCACACTGCTTCAATAATGTGAAGCTCCGGCTCTGGGGAGGATTCATCCCTCCATCAGACCTGTTGCCACTGATTTTCAGTCCACTTCTTGTGTCACTGGGCAGAGCTCAGTCTTTTCTCCCTGTTTCCCTTCCTTAAGAATGGCTTCTTGACAGCCTCCCTTCATGGAGAGCATTTCTGATGAGGCTTGGTCCAACAGGAGATGATCAGCTGAAGGTCCAGATGCATCTCTCAGCTCCTGTCAGCTCTTCGCTGGATTCTTTCCTCTTTCTTAAGGACATCACTTTCAGATCCTCTTCATCTGCTGTAGATAGTTTTTAGGCCCATCACTTCTTCTTTTGTCCTCCACTTGTCCAGTTTCCTCAAACGTTTTAAGGACACACTGCACACCGTGCTGAGATATGCCAAGTTTCCAGCTAATAGCTCTAATAGCTCTCTCGGCTTGTTGCTGCCTTCAAAAATCCAGTTTTCTGTCTGTCAAACTGTGTTTTCTTTGGCATTTTTCACACATCTGCTAAAGAAATGGGAACAAACTATGTGTCTTTTTGACAGGCTGCTGGTAACAAAGAGCCTAAAGATCCAACTTAAACTGCTTCTTTGCTCAGTCGTCTGCTCTCTGTGGACAACACTGGCTCAGCCCTTGAGTTAGGGGCCTTTTTCCTGCCCGAATGATTTAAAGCTCAGAGTTAAGCTGCTTAACAAAGAAAAAACACATTTCTCTGAAAATGCTGAGCTACTGGACAGAAAAAGAGAGAAAAAGCATAAAACACTCTGAAAGACCTTCAGGAAGCCGCAGAAGTCCTGCTCAGGAACACTTTAGAGGGTTCCTGAGCTGGGGGGGGTTCTTGGATCAGGACTTTTTACTCTCAGCATGAATCCCGGTTTCACTTCTTCATCCCTCCATGTCCTCTTCCTCGTGTCATGACCTCATTATGGAGCTGGCAGGAGGCCATCTCACCTGAACTCCTCGTCTTTTATCTCTCCTCCAACTTTAACCCCCCTCCCAAAAACCCATCCATATCATCGTTCTTTAGCGGCCTGCCTGGCGGTCTCCATGGCAACCTGCGTCCAGGCCATCCTGGCTGTAACCCTGTAGAGACCCCGTTAGACTCCCACAGGTCGGCGGGGCACAGCTGCTAACATCTGGCTGTAATTGGTTGCCTGTGAGCTGAGATGGAAACATCCATCCATCGTTTGGGGGTCGGTCGTCCAAATGAAGCCATTTCTCTGAGCGCTTTCGGGACGGCCGTGACTCCATCCATTTATTTTAAATGAGATCATAATGTGATCCATTTTCACACAAAAAGTCCAACAGAACCGGAGCAGGAATGCTGACGTTTTTCGGATAGGAACCCGGACTTGTGGTTGTTGGATTTAAATCAGTATTTGTCGGATTTTATTCAGTCGTCAGGTTTTCAGATGGTGGTAATAAAAAAACAGGTAAAATTATTACATTTAAGTTTTTTAAGGTTTGAACAAAAAAAACAGGCAAAAAACATAGGACATACACCACATTTTCAATCCTAAATTATTTAAATTTTTCATTTTTTTAATATTTGATTAAACGCATTCAATTTTTTTTTACTATTGAAACTTAAAGTAGATTAGAAAGTGATTAAATTGGGGGAAAAACTTGATTATTTTTTAATTAAGTTTTTATTATTTCATAATGTATACATTTTAGATGTAAGTAATTTATGCTCTTTAAAATATTGAATATAAATAATAATAATTTAATGTTTCAATATTAATATCCACATTTATTTAAAATTCAAATTTACAAATTTTCTTTTTTGTATTATATTTTTATGTTAAATATATATTCATTTAATTTTAATATTGAATAAAAATAGTTATTATATGCTGACATTATTTTCATTTGTTTTTAACTGTATTTTTTATATTATCCTTGCTTGTACTTTGGCAATAATTTTTCCACTTTATGATTTATGTTTAATGATGCTTCATTAAATTGTAACAATGCTGAAATCTAACGATTGTTATTAAGACAGAGGTTTTCATCATTATTTTTCCCTTTAACATGGCCTCATCAGTGCTATTTGCACTGATCTTCTCTGAAAAATAAAAGACGTCATTTTAAAACTATTTAGCTGGATCCCTTTTCAGGTCATTCGGCGCATCAATGAGGAGGAGAGGGGGAATTAATGGGTTTAGATTAAACACCTGCTGGTAAATTTATTGTGATGTTATTGTTAAATTATTAACAATTTAACATTATTTCTGAATCTTCAGACCTCAGCCGTACAGGCTGGTGTTTTAATCAGAGCTCAGTATTATTCACCTTTCTCACTCTCACCCTGGTAGTTATTCAAAGTGCACGTTCAGTGTGTGCACTTTCCCCCCCTCCAGGTTTCATTACCCTGATAAATAATTCAGGGAGGGGGGTTTCGGGGCCCTGTGCGTCTGTCTCACAGACTGTGTAAATGAACCCACCTCCTGTCTGTTATTCAGCCTGACACATGCACGCATTAGAAAACATACATGCATGAGCACAGACACATGGGACCACATGCACATACACTCACTGATATTCTCAGTGGGATGGAGGGGGGGGGGTCCTGAGAATAACAGCGTGTGCTTTATAACTGTCCCCGGCTCTGTTTTGTTCCACTCCTCGCTGCTTTCTGGGTTAAAATGTTCTTACTCTACCTGACAGGCGTGAGGTCCCCCCCCTCCCCCCCCCCCCCCCCCCAGTTTGTCCTCAAACCCCTCGTTCTGCTCCGTTTGTGAAGGACAAACTTAAGACGGGGACCCTTTTGTGCTCAGCTGAAACAAATCAGGAGTTTCTCGCTTTTCAAAACACAGATGCCGTTTATTTTGGGCCTCACCGTGTGTTTCTGTGTGTGTGTGTGTGTGTGTGTGTGTGTTTAGGCTCACGAGCGCTCGGAGAGCGTGGAGGTGACCTTCGTCACCCAGCTGGTCAAGAAGCTGATGATCATCATCGCCCGGCCCGCCCGTCTCCTGGAGTGTTTGGTAAGGAAAAGGGAAGGACATCCTACAGGGCTGTCCACCGGTAGGATATGTTGGGTATGTTGGCTGAGACATGTGTTCAGTGAGCTGTCCCTGGTACTGAACACAGAAATCTGAAGGCAGCAATGCGTTTGTGAGACCATTCTGGTCTTCTCTGACATGGTGCATGACCACTTTTCATTGGAAAAACTCTCTGGATCCAATATTGTGCCTTTCAAGATGCCATCCATGTTCCAGAAAATAGCCTAAAAGATAAACCCCTTCACCCATTACCTGCTAGGGAGTTCAGCTATGTCATGTTCCTCTGACCTTTGACTCACCCTTTATAACATTTAAAAACTGTTATTATTGTGCTCTCATGTTCCTTGAAAATGATAAGACAACTACGACAGAACAATTAACCTAATAACAAATTAGGCAACTCATGTCTTCTATGTCAAATATTAAGTCATATAATGTCAAATATATGTCAGATAAGTCCAGATATTTTTAGTATCTCTACTTGTAAGGAGATTTTGCTTTAATAACCCCTGTTCCTGTGTGGTCCTCTTCACTCCACAGCTCATATTCTGAGGCTGTCATGAGAAATGTGGTCAACATTAACTGAAATAGCTTTTTCATATTGTAGAGCTCGGCTCCATGCATGGTTAAGAAACCATTTACAGTTTCCTGCTCCTCTGTGTGAAATGATTCAAGCACAGCAATTCATTTGCGGGCTTCCTCTGAGAATATTAAATCAGCCTAACACACACACACAGCTAACTGCTTTCAGCAGTGATTCATTTAGAAGTTAGCAGGTCCTCCTCTCTCCCTGATTCCTGCTCTGTCCTTCACATTCCTCCCACATCAGATTGGGTTTATTTGGTCCGCATGCTGAGCCGAACAGATGAAGCCAGACGTCTGTGAGAAGGGATAAAGATGCAGCAGAGAAAAAAAGATAATTAGAGGGGCTGTGAAGGGCGAGGAAAAGGAGGACAGGATGGGAGAGGAAGCCATACCGGTGCTCACATGAGTGGTTTTGACTAATCACATGCTGGAGAAGCTGTGACAGCAGACAAAATGTGTTTTTACTAACGGAAACACACAAAGGGGGAGGCAGAGAATGAGTTTTGTGTGTTTTTCATTCTCATCTCTTCTCATTTCTTTCCTTTCTTTAAACAGTTTGTTAAGCCATGTAGCCCATAAATAACAGGCAGGAATTTCCCTTTAAATTGATTTAGTTCAGGAATTCTGGAAATATTCCAAACAAACCGATTCTATCAATATCAGCTGAACGTACTTACCTCCACGCAGTGGAGGGTTACCATGCCACTCTTTCTGCAGAACAACATGACACGACATGTATATGTTACACATGAATTACATTAATTACTCATAACCTAGTTAACCAGTTAGCTAGCTGCTGTATGAATGCATTTTGATTTGATAGTGGTCGTTTAAACACTTTGTCTAGAGTAGAGCCCTGGCTTTGCTAGTTCTTAGCAAGTTCAGAAATCATCTGTGCATTTAATACAGAATTAGCAAAGATATTCAACTGTTTGCAACTTTTGCAAACTTGGCTTTAAAAAATCCCATAACTCAAGGGATGAGCCAGTGTCGTGTCTACACAGAACAACTAGGCAAAGAATTTGTAAAAGAAGCTGTTAAGAAGCTGTAAAATTGGATCTTTAGGCTCTTTGTTACCAGCAGCCTGTCACAAAGACACATCATTTGTTCCCATTTCTTTACTAGATGTGTGGAGAAAAAGGAGCTTTGGGATGTCTTTGACCGTGGATGTTTTAAAGCATGCTTCTCCTCTGCAGGAGTTTGATCCTGAGGAGTTTTACCACCTGCTGGAGGCAGCAGAAGGCCATGCAAAGGAGGGCCAGGGCATCAAATCCGACATCCCCCGTTACATCATCAGTCAGCTGGGCCTCACCAGGGACCCTCTGGAGGGTAACCCACCAAATGTTACACCTGTTTCTGGAGTTATCTTTTTAGGTTATGCCTTGCTTGTTCGGTTTGGTCAGTGACACAAGGTCTTTTTACAGAAATGACCCAGCTGAGCAGCTATGACAGCGGGAACCCAGAGACCCCGGAGACCGACGATTCAGTGGATGTGAGTCCGCCATCAGACGGAGAACGCCATTTATTTTCCAGCAGACAGAGCGTTTACAGTGTTTTCTGCTTCTGCTGCATTACAGAGTCGAGGAACCACTGTGCCGGCACCCCCCCCACCAGCCAAAACCAAAGCTCCCCGAGAGGAAGACTTTGAGAACATCAAGCTGATCAGTAACGGAGCCTACGGGTGCGCCGCCTCCCGCCATGTTTGACACACACGATCCCCTGGTTTAGCCAGGACCCGCACTAATCTGTGGTCCCCCGCAGGGCCGTGTATCTGGTACGCCACAAAGAGACCAGGCAGCGATTCGCCATGAAGAAGATCAACAAGCAGAACCTGATCCTCAGGAACCAGATCCAGCAGGCCTTCGTGGAACGGGACATTCTCACCTTCGCCGAGAACCCGTTTGTGGTCTCCATGTTCTGTTCCTTCGAGACCCGGAGGCACCTGTGCATGGTGATGGAGTACGTGGAGGGTAAGAGCCATTGGTCAGGGATGGAGCTGAGGCCTCGGCATACTCTTAGAACAGAGAGATTTGTTCATCTGGTCATGTGATTGGTCAGATTTATGAGCTGGCCTGGTTAGCAGCGTGGAGCAGTTCCATGCTTCTCATGAACTGGTTCAAACTTCAGTTCATTTAAACGATTTTTCAATTGAGAAGTGAGAGTGAAAGACTGGACCCCCGATAATATAAAAAAAGTCCAGTTTAGTTCAGTTTTTGAGAAAAACAGAAGATTTCCCTGCTCTCGGAGTGTGTGGCAGCCTTTAGCCTTTATCTGTGCCGGTGTCTGATCTGTGCTGACTCGGCGTGCAGGGGGGGACTGCGCCACGCTGCTGAAGAACATCGGCGCCCTGCCGGTCGACATGGCTCGCATGTACTTCGCTGAGACCGTCCTGGCGTTGGAGTATCTCCACAATTACGGCATTGTGCACCGAGACCTCAAACCCGACAAGTAAGACGCGCAGACACACACAAGTGCGATCCTTCCTGCTGGTTTCTGCTCTCTGGGAAGGTCTGAGGGTTTTATTTTTGTCCCGTTCAGCCTTCTTATCACGTCCATGGGACACATCAAGCTGACGGACTTTGGCCTCTCGAAGATCGGGCTGATGAGCTTGACCACCAACCTGTATGAAGGCCACATCGAGAAAGACACCAGAGAGTTCCTGGATAAGCAGGTGTGTGCCCTGACGCCGGCCCGCTCCGGTGGGCTCCGCCCCTAGCTGAGCTTCCCTTTGTTTCTCTGCAGGTCTGCGGGACGCCGGAGTACATCGCCCCCGAGGTGATCCTGCGCCAGGGCTACGGCAAGCCGGTGGACTGGTGGGCCATGGGGGTCATCCTGTACCAGTTCCTGGTGGGCTGCGCCCCGTTCTTCGGGGACACCACAGAGGAGCTGTTTGGTCAGGTGATCAGCGGTGAGTCGGGTTGAGTTTGGCTCTCCGTCGCTCTGCCTGACAAACGCTGTCCCCAGGATCCTGACAGTGTGTGTCTGTTAGATGAGATCATCTGGCCGGAGGAGGACGAGGCTCTGCCCCACGAGGCTCAGGACCTCATCACCAAGCTGCTCCGGCAGAACCCTCTGGAGCGGCTGGGAACAGGTAACCGAGCCACTCCCTGAATCGCTGCAGTCCACTCCTCTCAACGCTTGCCTCTGGGTCTTTGGGCTTCCTGCCCTCACTCTCTGACCCGTAGCTCTCCCCTCCTCTTCCTCCTCCCCCTCGGTGTGCACAGGCGGCGCCTACGAGGTGAAGCAGCACCCCTTCTTCACCGACCTGGACTGGAACAGCCTGCTGAGGCAGAAGGCCGAGTTCATCCCGCAGCTGGAGTCCGAGGACGACACCAGCTACTTTGACAGTGAGTGTCCGACCTCCCGCAGATGTTCGACAGCTGTGTGAGGGTTTGCTGACGCTGTGGTCTGATCTGTGTGTGTCAGCTCGCTCCGACCGGTACCACCACGTGGACTCAGAGGAGGAGGACGACACCAACGACGACGAGCACGTGGAGATACGACAGTTCTCCTCCTGCTCGCCCCGCTTCAGCAAGGTACCGCTGACCGAACATGTAATAACGAACATGGAAGGCTCCTTTTCCCATGTGTTTTACATGTTTGAAAGGAAAGAAGTTTAGGCATTTCAACTTTACTTTATTATAAAGAAGTCTACACATATAAAACAACAAAAAAACAACACAAAAGAAGGTCCAGACAGAAGCTTTGTGTCCAAACTGAACACACTGTAACCTACAGCCTCTAAATGCCAGTACATTGTGTGAATAATGTGTTTGGATGTTGCTTAATGTTCATCCTTTGAACTACACCACACACAAGCAGAGAAAAGCGTCCTCTGATCCTCTGAAAATTGCTAAAATTCTAACTCCCCCGTCTGTCAACCAGTCTTATGACCCAAACAAAGGAAACTTTGAAGCCTGTGAGAAATAATGCTGAAAATGGGCTCAGAAACCTTGGACCTTGCGTGTTTTGTGTAGGTGTACAGCAGCATGGAGCGTCTGTCTCTACACGAGGAGAAGAGGACTCCCCCTCCCACCAAACGCAGCCTGAGCGAGGAGGGAGGAGACCGCCTGGACAGCCTGAGCGGGCTGAAGTCCAGGGACCGGTCCTGGCTGGTGGGATCCCCAGAGATGTGAGCAGCTCTCCTCCTGAGCTCTTTATACTCCTGTTTCCTCAACCCTTTGACATATTTTTGCCTCCCCCACCCCCCCAACGCTGCAGCCTGCGGAAGCGCCTGTCGGTGTCCGAGTCGTCCCACACGGAGAGCGACTCCAGTCCTCCACTGACCGTCCGCCGGCGCTGCTGCTCCGCCATCATCGAGATGCCCCGCTTCGCCATCTCTGCCGAGGAGGAGGGAGGCCAAGGTAAAGCCCACCTCTCCTTTAATTAGACCCTCAGCAGGTGAGCCAGAGCCTGGCGCTGGAGGACTAATAGCCAGTAGAACTCAGAGGTTGGAGTCTCTCACGGGAGCAGTTGTTTGAGAGTTTTTGGTTGGTCGTCATTCTTTGAATTGGTTTATGGTGTTTTTTTCTTTTTTTTGTATTATTGTATTACAGTGAGGTCTCTTTGTGTTTTTTTTGTTTCTCTCTATGGTGGTTATGTGTCTCTCTGCGATTGTTTTGTGGTTCTCTGTGGTTGTTTTATGTTTCTGTCTTCTTGCTTTGTGTCTCTCTATGGGTATTTTGTGTCTCTGTGGTTGTTTTGTGTTTCTCTGCAGTTGTTTTGTGCCTGTCTGTGGTTGTTTTGTGTTTCTCTGTGGTTGTTTTGTGTTTCTCTGTGGGTGTTTTGTGTTTTTCTGTGGTTGTTTTGTGCCTGTCTGTGGTTGTTTTGTGTTTTTCTCGTTGGTTGTTTTGTTTCTCTCTGCTGTGAGACACAAACTTCCTTTCACTCCATCTTTGCTGAAACTCTTTGGGGGAGTCCCACAACCTCCCTTGTGAACATCTAACTCCAGCCGTGTCGTTGTTCTGTCAGGAGCAGCTGGCAGTCGTAAAAGCCCGAGCCTGCTGGGTCTGAGCTCCCTGAGGGGCCCGCGCTGCGAGGAGCTTCCGCTGGCCATCCCGGAGCTGCCGTTGGAAAGAGAGCTGAAGCTGGACGAGTCTCCCACCACACCCAGCTCCACCTCCAGCCAGCAGAGCAAAGCCACGCTCACACGTCAGTGCCCGTCCGTCTGCCCTCCGCCCGTTTCCTCGCTTAGCAGCGGGGTCAGACCTTGTCCTCTGCTTGTGGCCGCAGCGGGCAGCTCAGGAGACGTGTGCGAGCGCGCCAACGGCAGCGCCGGCGCCGCCAAAGCCGCCGCAGAGGCCGACTCGCCCTCCGCCCCCAAGGCCATCAGCGACCTGGCGGCCCGCCGCGCTCGCCATCGCCTCATGTCCGGTGACACCGAGAAACACACCGCCCCCAGCTCCAGGCCGCTCAACAAGGTCATCAAGTCCGCGTCCGCCACCACGCTGTCGCTGATGATCCCTGCGGGTCAGTGAACGCCACACCGGCTTAGAGTGGGAGTTTAGAGCTCGTAGCCCTCCTCCAAACATCTCTCAGGATCTCCTAGTGTTTCCCGCTGAACAAATGTTTCTTTTTTGGCTGCAGACCACCATGGAGCCTCCCCATTGGCCAGCCCAATGTCGCCCCACTCTCTGTCGTCCAACCCGTCGTCACGGGACTCGTCTCCGAGCCGCGACCTGTCTCCGGCCGTCAGCAGCGTGAAGCCGGCCATCGTCATCCACAGAGCAGGAAAGAAGTACGGCTTCACGCTGAGAGCCATCCGGGTCTACATGGGAGACTCCGACATCTACACCGTGCATCACATGGTCTGGGTAGGGAGCAGATTTCAACCTACTCGGGGATTCCGGTGGGAGGCAGCAGCTTCTGGAAAACGTCTCCTCCTCACATCTTTAATCTGCTCTTTTCACGGCAGCACGTGGAAGGGGGGGGTCCTGCGCACGAGGCGGGGCTCAGGGAGGGCGACCTCATCACCCACGTCAACGGCGAGCCAGTCCACGGTCTGGTTCACACCGAGGTGGTGGAGCTCATCCTGAAGGTATGTCTTTAAAGCCCCATACAGACACAGATGTCCAGGTTGTGAGCCCTAACATCCCTGTGTGAGTTTTCTGTTCCACCTGTCAGTTATGAAGTTGTTCAGACAAAGTAACTGGGTTGTATTTGGTCTCTCAGAGCGGAGCCAAAGTGTCCATCTCTGCCACGCCGTTTGAAAACACCTCCATCAAAGTCGGCCCTGCCCGCAAGACCGGCCACAAGTCCAAGATGGCGAGACGCAACAAGAAGACCAAGACCAAGGAGGGGCAGGACAGGTGGGTGGCGCTCAGGTGGGCATGCAGCTGATTGGCTTACGGGGTGTCTAACAGTGCGTTCTGTAGCAGTAAGAAGAGGACGCCGCTGTTCAGGAAGATCACCAGGCAGGTGTCTCTGATCCACACCAGCCGCAGTCTGTCCTCGTTAAACCGCTCCCTGTCGTCCGGCGAGAGCGGCCCCGGCTCGCCCACGCACAACCTGTCCCCACGGAGCCCCACTCAGGGCTACAGGGCCACAGCAGACTCCGCCCACTCAGGTGGGAGAAAGTTTCTGCCTTCAAGCACCATTCTGCAATGATGTTTTTAACACTAAAATAGAATTCTTATTGTTTTACTAAAAAGTTTAGTAATTTCTGATTAAGATGTCAAATTCAAACAAACAAACTTCAAATTTGTTCCTGTTACTCCTGACCACATAAGATAAATGTTCATTTCTGACTTCTCAGAGAAGCCCAGTGAGTTGGCTGAGATTTGGGGAATAAAGGGGGAGTTGGATTTGAAATCCTGATGAGCTGAAAATGATAAAAGACTGACACAGTACCAAGAGAAAGAAAACACAATCAATCTACAAACAGACATCAAATGACCACAAAGAGAAACAAAATAACCAAAAAGACATGAATTGACCCCCTTGTCCTCCTCAGTTGGAGGAAACTCGTCCCAGAGCAGCTCCCCCAGCTCCAGCGTGCCCAACTCTCCGGCCAGCTCCGGCCACATCCGGCCCAGCTCTCTGCACGGCCTGGCCCCCAAGCTGCAGCGCCAGTACCGCTCGCCCCGCCGCAAGTCTGCGGGCAACATCCCCCTCTCCCCGCTGGCCCGCACGCCCTCTCCCACGCCGCAGAGCAGCTCGCCTCAGCGCTCCCCCTCGCCGCTGTCCGGCCACGCTCTGGGCCCGCCCGCCTTCCCGGTCAAGCTGCACTCCTCCCCTCCCCTGGTCAGGCAGATCTCCCGGCCCAAGAGCGCCGAGCCCCCGCGCTCGCCGCTGCTGAAGAGGGTGCAGTCGGCCGAGAAGCTGGCCTCCTCGCTGTCCAACCCCCCCTCGTCTCCGGCCGCCATGGCGGCGGCGGCGGCCGGGAGCCGCAAACACAGCCTGGACATCTCCCACTCAGAGTTCAAGAAGGAGATTCTGCAGCGGGAGCCGAGCTTACAGAGCCTGCAGGTACCGGCCGCCGTGGCTGCCCTTCACTCCGGTTTGACCTGCTGAAACAGCAGAAATGAGTCGAATAAAACCCAAAAGCTGACTTATTCTGCCCAAATGTCCAAAGATTAGTTGTAATGTTCACTTACGTGTCTTACAAAGCACAGCAAACGCCTGTGTCCTCAGTCACTTCTGTCCTCATTCTGGACATTGTGTAAACGCCCAAAATTGGTTCTGTATTAAAAATTAACATTAACCCTTTAAAGGGCACGTCTAGTGTTTTTTTTTTCGGTTTTTACAAAAGCTTCAGGTTTAAGCAGAAAATCAAGAACTAACGAACAACAAGCATCTTGTCAGACGAACCCCAGATTCCACATTTGGTTCTGAATGTGGCTGTTTTCTAAAGCTTAAAGTATAAAATGATCTCCCAGTTTAGAGGTCCACCTTTTAGTTGACTTTAGTTTTAGTTTCCAACACATCAGCAACACAGAATGTTTTGACAACACTTTTGCTTTAAAACCTGATTAAGTTGATCAGTTTTTCCAGCAGAAATAATCTCTCTCCTCATTCTCTGACCTCAGGAGTCGGCCAGCGAGGGCCTCCTGTCGGCGGGCCGCGGCGTGGAGAAGGGCAGCCTGCAGAAACACTCCTCCAGGAAGCTGGGCCGCCAGGAGGGCGACGGCGCCCTGGGCCCGCCGTCCGGGTCGCTGGGCCTGCCCGGCAAGAGCAAGCTGAAGGACAAGCTGTCGGCCATCCGGCAGGACCGCGCCGAGCGCCGCGAGTCTCTGCAGAAGCAGGACGCCATCCACGAGGTGGACTCGTCCGAGGACGAGACGGACGAGGGCTCCGAGGACAGCCAGGACGGGCGCAGGGCGGCCGCCGCCGCCTTCATGCCGCCGCCCCTGCTGAGGCCCACCTCCGTCCGCACGGGGCCCGGGGGCACGCTGCCCTCCCTCTGCCTGGCCCCCAGCGTGCCGCACGCCACCTTCAGCCACACGGGCCCCGCCCAGCTCAGCCGGCCCGCCCCCTCCCACCCGGAGCCCAAGCCCGGCCAGAGCCCCGCCCCCGCCGGGCCCACAGACGCCGCCCCGGCCCAGAAGGCTCCAGAGCCCGGCGGGTCCACAAAGCCCGCCCTGGGCCCGCTGCCCTTCTCCACGCCGGGCAGCGCCTTCATCTCGGTCAGTAAGGACTCGCCTCTCAAGCCCAAAGCCGACGAGCGGCCGACCAGCTCCCCCGACCCCCGAACGGCCAGCAGCAGCCCCGAGCCGCCCCGCGCCTCCTGCTCCTCCCCGGGCATCCCAAAGGAGAAGAAGGAGGCCGACAACCGCAGGCTCTGTGCGGCGGCAGTGGCCCCGCCCCCGCCCGTCCCCTCCTCTGCTCCAGGCCCCGCGGCTCCGCCCACCGAGAGCAGCATGGACCGGGTGGTGTCGCAGCTCGCCACGGTGGCAAAGAGCGTCCTGGGTCCCGTCAAACTCGCCACAAAAGAGCAGAGAGCCCCAGAACCCTCCGACCCGGCTCCCCCGTGCCCCAACGCCCGGAGAGGAACGCCGCCACCGCCGCCGGCAGCATCAGGGCCCGCCGCCCGCACCGCCGCCCCCACCTCTGCAGCACCTGAGCCACAGCGCAGGAGGGTCGACCCGCCGCCGCCCGCCACCGCCACGCCCGCCGCCGGCCAGCAGAGCAAAGCGGCCGGCAGGAAGACGTAGCCCCGCCCCCGCTGCCCGACATCAGAACAGCTGCCGCTCCGCTCCAGCTGCTGCCAGCTGCAAACAGCCCAGACGTTCGGAGAGCCTGGTCCTTGAACGCAGCACACCTTCTGCCTACAGGTCAGAGCGGCGGGGAGCAGCCTCCCCCTCCGCTCAGATTTAGGGTCATTTTGTTGTCACTTCTGAGCTTCAGATTCTTTAGATTAACTCCGATCAGAAGCAGAACCATCAGAACAACCCAACACGAAAAGTAGAAGGAGGAAGTGTGGCTTTATCGAGTCACCAGCAGGGGGCGACTCCTCTGGTTCAGAAGAGGCTTCTCCTGATTTGTGACTTCATTCGCAAAATAGCAAAACCCTCCGAAGCCTCTGCGTTTGCAGCCGTGGCAGCAGTCTGGCCCAGACCACAACCCCCCTTTTCTGTCCCAGTGTGGGTCCTGGGGGTTTCCGACACTTTTCCCGTATTTGGGGGCTGTTCAGGACTCTCTGCGTAAGTGGGCGGAGCTTAATCCGGCTGCTTACATTTGGATTCTGCCCAGAAAAGCTTTCCATTGGTGTGTCTGCTTGGACTCATTCTGATGGAAGTCCCCCTCAAAACGGGCTTCCTGCTGCTTCTGGACGCGGGGCTCCGGCGGTCTGGCTCAGGACGCCGTCGGACTGGCGGCGGCCTCTGGATCCTGTTTACATTTGTTCGTCTTTTCTGTGGAACTTGTTGCCAACACGCAGAGGTGACCCGTATCAGAAGGGGTCCGCACTCGCCGCAGTGTGTTACACTCCTGCTTCTTTTTGGGAGGAAAACAGCCCAGAGGTTAAAGAGCCAAACAGAGGCGGAGCTCTAATGTGATCCGAAACCTCGTGGAATCATATTTAGATCAAACCTGGAACCAACCAAGCCTCCAAGGCTGAGAGAATTTACATTCATCCACTTATTGGCTGGTATAGATTCTTCTGGACAAACTGGTGCAGAAAGTCTGCTCATTTCAGGCTTTCGATTGTGGATTTTTATTCCTAAATCTGTATCTGAGTGTGTGTCGGCTTATAACCTGCAAAAAAAATCATCAGTACGAGTTCATGTTTCATCATTTCACTCATCTACTTTTAGGGGAGAATGTCAAACATCTGTAGCGACTTACTAAATATTCCCGTTGTTGCCTCAAAACTCCAGAAGAGTTCTGTTCGTCCTCAGTGTTTTCTCTAATCAAACACATCTCTTTTGTGCCTAAAAATCCTCCACAATGGGCAGTGTAGACCAAACACTAGAAACCTCCATATTTTACACATCAGATTTTCCTGCTGTTGACTATCATAAAGGGGCTAAACGATTAGGCGTTTGTGCAGAAAAGGAGAAAAACTGGAGAAAAGTTAGACTTATAGCAGAAAAGGGGCTGATTTTTAATTTAAAAAATTGTTACAAAGGCAAAATATGGCAAAGACGCTTTGCCCTGAAGCTGAAAGTCAGACTGAGGACAGAGTAAATGAGATTAGGAGCCATTACCAAGCCAGATGTTTCCGTTTTAGCACATTAACCGCTCGGTGCTGCAGACTGTGGTGTTTTTCCTGCTGTCGGGATTAACCAGAGTGGCTTTAAAAGCAGGAAAGATGAATTTAACCAGAGTCCAAAGGGGAGTTTTGAAGCAGCAACCGGAGGGGAGACGGAGGAGAGCAGTATTTCCACACTGTGCGTGTTGTGTTTGTCTTATAAGGGTGAGAGGGAGGAGGGGGAGGAGGGGGGGGGGGCACCGTAGGGTCAAAGACAGAAAAACGTTGCTAGAGTAAAACCAGTGCAATATCTTTTTATTTTTTATTGTGGTAAAGCATGTTGTTGTCAATCTTACCTTACAACAATAATAAAGTTTTTTATCAACATTTCGTCTCTGTTTTGCTGTGATTAACCGCCCTCAGCTCCTTTTTACACCACAGACGGATTCATTCAGCGCTGGTAAAGATTTTGGAAATGTGGCTTCTCATAAATTGGGTTCCATGCTGAATCTCTCCTTTAGCTTCATTATTTCCAGTTTAAATAGTGAGGTCAGTTGACATGGCAGTGATGTGACATGATAATAAACACAACATTTCTGATCCGTTTAGTTTGTAGTGAGGAAGATTAATGAATGTCTCTGACTGTATACTGAATTCTGCCAGATGTCATGTTAGGGCACTAAGACTCCCTCTGCTGGCAGATAGGGTGATTACAGAGCTTGTCTTGAGGGCTCTTAATACATGTGAGGTTATTTTCTGTCCCGTTTGGAAAAAATAATCATTTGAGAAAGTGGGGTTCTATCTGGTTTATCTTAGATATGAACAAATCTACGGTTACAGGCTGGTATCATGTCACATTTAGCCAAATTTGGCTTTTTCACATTATTTTCTGAGCTTTAAATTGGCTTCTCCCTTAGCTCCCGACTGGAGTTTAATCCACACAGCCCCTGATGTGAAAGAACACCAACGGGAAACGATGGCTTAGCTTTTGTGCATTAGCCTTCACCTCTACAGATCGGTGAGTCTCACACAACTCAGAGATCAATAAGCTCTCATTACACATTGTGGTTCTACAGTGTTTTTGTGAACACATAAATAACACTGTGAAAGAGAATATAAATGCCGTTTTATCAGACATTTACAACCTGAAACACCATGTCTCCACCAAAGATCAGGTCCCAGACACAAAGAGTTACTACATGAAATAATAAATATCTACTGGTTTAGATACTACACAGGCCAACATTTTGAGAGAGCAAAGAAAACAAAGTAGGTGTGATATTGGTGTGGATTCTCAGTCATCAGCTCACGTTGATCCTCAGTCTAAAGCATCTGCACTTCTTCTTTGATCTTGAAGTCAATTCTCCGCTCGACCTGAAGGCTTCTTTAACTCGAAACGACGTGGTTCTTCGGATTTTTCTTTGATGATGATATCGTTATATAATATTGATCATAGCTATTGGCTCGAACTGGATTGCGCCCTTTGAAGTGAACTGAGATGATATTTGTTTTTGTTTGTTGATGTATAAGTCAAACTTGAGGAATCGTCCAACTCTTAAGCTGAGAAATTTGACGCAGTCACATGTCAGAGCAGGTTCTTCTTCTTTGGTCATTTTTAAATCTGTCCCTGAGAACAACTTCTTTACTTGGCGTTTGATCAGTGTGCGTTGATTTGATTTATTTCCTTCTATTGCAATAAAGTTGGCTCTGTTTTGGTTTCCCAACAGCAGGAATCCTCACGCATGTAAACGGGAAAAACTGCTGGTTTCCTTATGGAGGAAACCTTTGAATAGGCTCAGAATAATTTGGACATGTTTGGAATTTAATTATTTAATCTGACTGGATGCGATCGGACTGGTTGGAGGTTTAATTGGTTGAGGTTTGGAGCTCTGTGTATGAATGGATTAAGTTTGCTTCTCCAGATGCTTTGGAACACATGTCGAAGTAAAAAGGAGAGAGGCCAGGGACAGAAATAGAGGCATCTTCCTCTCATCCAAAATGGCAGTAAAGTGCCCCCCCCGCCTGCCTCCGGCTTCATGCTGGGCGTCTGAGTCTCGGTCATTTGTTCTCCTCACGTCCTGCTCCTCCTCCAGAGGCTGAAGATGAGCGGAGAAGGGGCAGTAAATTGTCTGTGGACTCATTTTCCCTAAAGTGGCCTCATCCAGGCGGTTAAGTCGTGGCTTTGCGGCGGCGAGCTTCCTAATAGAGCCTCGGACGCTCTGATTGGCTGCTGAGACGGCGCCCGGCGCCTCTCCCTGCCTCTCGGCCGTCTTAATGGTCCTGGGAGACAGCTCCGGCCGGCCTTGCGGAGCGTTGATGGAGGGTAATGGGTCATCTGCGCACACCTCCACGGGGCCCGCACGCTTCGGGGACAAAATGGCGGTAAAATGGAGCTCCATTAGCACTCCAAGAAACTGGCCGCGCCGCCACTGGACGGCTGAGGTCAAAGGTCGCTCTGCCTGATTTAAACACCAACCACCAACTGCACTCTGGGATAATTGGGCCCCTCTTCCCCCCCCCCCCCCCCCCCCCCCCCTCCCTGCTCTGGATTCCTCCCATCCATCCATCCGGCCGTCCGCAGGGAGCTGTCATGGCGGAGGAGGAGGGCGGGGGCCTCCCTCCGTCTTTACCGGAGGTCCCGGGGGGGGGGGGGCACGCGTCGGGGGGGGGGGGCGCTGAGAGCGGGCGTCCTGCAGACAGCGGCAGTGACAGGCGGGCGGGGTGATGAATGGCCCCGGCCGCCTGGCTCTGACACGGCTCTACATGAGCAGGCAAATTCATTCCAGGCTGAGAGAGAGGGAGGAGGGAGGAGGAGGAGGAGGAGGAGGAGGAGGGTGGCACGGGGAGACGGAAATATATGGAGCTTCTGCGTTCAGGCTCGTCACGGCGGAGACATGAAGCCATCAGAAAGGTCTCCGGACCCTGAGTGACGGCATGTGTGGCGTCCGAAAGGGTCAAAGGGGGGGGTCACGAGAAGGTTTTCACATGTAAAGACTATATGTAAAAGATATTTAGAATATCTCAGATTTACCATGTTGTGACCCATAAAAATATCCTGAGTAATTAAGAGTTAGACAGGAAATATTCCACCTGTCACTGTTGGATTTGCTCTGCTTTCATCCAGTCAGAAGCTTTCATGTGATAATTATAATTTTAATCCTCCTTATCTCTGTATAGGGCACGGACTAAGATAGAATAGAATTTATCAGGAGCTATAAGTTACTATTTTTTACTTTTACTTTCAGGTTTATGATCAGTCCAGAACAGATTAAGCTACTCAAAGGTTGAGTGTAAATATACATTAACCTGAAAATGAACATTTATTCTCAAATAGATTCGGAGAAATCTGCTGGTTTCTCCTGAGAGGAATCTTTTTATCAGCCCTGTGTGAACCGGACTCAATTAGAACTGACTGGAACTGATGTGTTAGATTGAGTTGGATTCCAATTCTCTTGAATTTGACTGTAACATTTAAGTGTCGTCAGATGATATCTTTCCTGATTTGGTGCCATATGACTAAAA